ATTAAGCCAAACGCCTGAACAGCAGAACTGAAGCGACTGAACCATGCTCGAGGAGACTGCTTGAGACCATATAAGGATTTCCGAAGACGACACACCTTTCCAGACTCCCCCTGAGCAACAAAACCAGGTGGTTGCTCCATGTAAACTTCTTCTTGTAAATCACCATGAAGAAAGGCATTTTTGATGTCAAGTTGAAGGAGTGGCCAGTGACGAACAGCAGCAAGGGCAAGAAAGAGGCGGACTGACGCCATCTTAGCGACCGGAGAAAATGTATCGCTATAATCAAGGCCAAAGATTTGAGTAAAACCCTTGGCAACTAAACGTGCCTTGAGACGATCAATATGGCCATCAGGTCCAACTTTCACAGTAAAAACCCAGCGACAACCAACTATAGACTTCTCTGGAGGAGCAGAAACAAGGTCCCAAGTGCCATTGGAATGAAGTGCAGTCATCTCATCATGCATTGCTTGGCGCCACCCTGGATGGGAAAGTGCTTCACCTGTGGTCTTAGGAATAGAAATAGAAGAAAGACTAGAAACAAAGGTGAAATGAGGTGAAGAAAGACGGTCATAACTCAAAAAGGTATAAAGAGGATAAGGGTTACGAGTAGTACGTGTACCTTTTCTTTGAGCAATGGGAAGAGTCTCTGATGAAGGATCCGGAGGGGAAGAAGCAACAGCAGTGGGCGATGAGTCAGCAAGAGTCGAGTCGACAGGAGGCACAGTTTTGCGACGCTGATAGGTGAGAAGTGGACGGTCCTCAGGTATAGAAGCAATAGGTTGCTCATCTGGAATAGAAGCACTTGTAGCTGGCAAAGACAAGTCAAGAAAAGGGACAGGAAGTACATGATCAACCTGTGACATCTGAGATAGGATAGAATTAAAGGGTTGTTGATCAAGAAAAGTGACATCAGCGGAAACTAAGTAACGCTTAAGGTCGGGAGAATAACAACGATAACCCTTTTGAAGACGAGAATAACCAAGAAAGATACACTGAAAGGCTTTGGATGTTAACTTATCCTTACCAGGAGTGAGATCATGAACAAAACAAGTACAACCAAAGACATGTGGAGTTAGAGGATAAAGAGGAACATCTAGAAGCAATAGATTATGAGGAATGTCATTGTGGAGCACAGATGAAGGCATGCGATTGATGAGAAAACAAGAGATGAGTACAGCATCTGCCCAGAAGTGAAGGGGAACCTGCATATGAATAAGAAGGGTACGGGCAGTTTCAATGAGATGTCTGTTTTTACGTTCAGCCACCCCATTTTGTTGTGGAGTGTGAGGACAAGTAGTTTGATGTAAAGTACCTTGTGTGGCCAAGAAATTAGAAAAATCAATAGAAACATATTCCTTAGCATTATCACTACGTAGAATACGAATAGAAACACCAAATTGAGTATGGATCTCAGTAGAAAACTTTTTATAAATGGAAAATAGCTCGGAACGATTTTTCATTAAATAGGTCCAAGTGCAACGGGAAAAATCATCAATAAAGGTAACGAAATACCGAAAACCTAAGACAGACAAGGTACGACTTGGACCCCAGATATCTGAATGAACAAGAGAGAAAGGGGCATCAGCTCGTTTATTGACTCGACTGGCAAAAGAGGAGCGTGTATGCTTCCCTTGTTGACATGACACACAATCTAAAGACTGAAGACCGGACAAAAGAGGAACCATTTTCTGCAACTTTGAAAGACTTGGATGACCAAGGCGACTGTGGATAAGTTGTGGAGATTCTGTGAGAGAGCATGCTACTGAAGGACGAGGCACATCCAGATAATAAAGCCCTCGTGACTCACGACCCACTCCAATCATTTTCCCCGTACCCGGATCCTGCACAGAAACAGAATGGTTAGAGAAAGTAATGGTGCAAGTGAGGGAGTGGATCAACTTACTAATAGAAATTAAGTTATAAGGGATGCCAGGAATGTAATAGACAGATGTCAAGGCCAAGGTAGAGGTCGGACGAGCTTGTCCAATCCCACGAACTGGGGCTTTGGTTCCATCCGCAAGGGTAAAAGACGGTAAATGATCAGAATAAGTAAGAGATGTAAAGAGTTCCTTATTACCACAGAGATGATCGGTAGCACCGGAGTCAAATATCCAAGTGCCAAGTGATGTAGAATGAGAAACACAAGCAACAGGATTACCAGTATAAGGCTGAGACTGAGGAGAAGCCTTCCTGAGAGGGGTTTGGAGTGCAGCATAGTCCGAACCTGAACCAAATGATGCATTGTCTGACTGAGCTATATTTGCAACAATAGAAAGAGAGTTAACCTCCGAGAGATCAGGAGATGCTGCTGCCATTTAAAGATAAAATATAAAAGTCGTAAACGAAGGCAAACGATATCCAATCAAGAAGAACCACGCGTCTAAGGTCAGACCCACAGAGAAACAATCACAGATCCAGAAAGGGGAGGAGAAGGCGAGCTTCTCTGTCCAAGACCGGCCGGAAAAAGCTGCCGGAATAGTGCTCACGCGCCGGCAGAAGGTGGCGCGTGAAGCCCACGCGCAGAGAAGACAGGTGGCGCGTGACGGCGCGTGGGAGATGCGTTGCTGACCGGACCACCACAGACCTGGTCACCGGGAAGAGAGGGTCCTGATCGCGTGAAGTTTGGTCGGAAAAGTCGCCGGAAAAAGTCTCCGGTTGCCTGAACAGTGATTCTGACGGCGGGCGGTGGTTCCGGTGGCCGTCGGAGGTGCTGACGCGTTTGGAAAAATCACTCAGAGGCTGTTTACAGCCCTAGAAGGCTTGCCGGAAGGACGCACGGCAAGAAAGAGGACTCCTAAGCAGTGGGCTTAGGTTTTAAAGCAAAAAACAAGGTTTCTAAGCGGAAGCGAGGGTTCCCAGAACGAAAGAGCTCTGATACCAACTTGAATATAAAATAATAGAAGAATAATATGTTATGTATTGATCTGTGTCAGAGAGTTACAATATATAGAGACCCTAATGGGCTTAAGTGAAAGGCCCAAACCTAATCCTAATACAGTCAGAATACAGTCAGAATATTTACGGATAAGACGGAATCCAATCATATCTAATCATATCTAATCATATCATATCTAATATTCTAACAATTGTAATCTTTAAATGTCTAGTCAAAAAAGTGTGATGGATATGCAACTCTTAACCCAATAAAGATGCAAAAGTAATGCACATTGAACTAGAGTAAAAACTCATTTTAATCCCCCAAAGAGAGTCAACAACAATTTAATCCCTCCATCATTAGAAGTGACATCAAATTCATCCTTCTGTATACACATTGGATGAATACAACTAACGGATCTTCTAGTTGAGAGACTAAATTGATGTCACTTTCAATAATTAAGGGACTAAGTTGATGTCAACTTTCTTTGGACTTGGAGGGGTTATTCATTGAACAATCATACAAGCAAGGAGCTAAAATGTGATATCATACAATTAAAACTTCAGATAGAGAAACAATTCATAATACTAAGAAATTTTTGTAAAATTACAGTTGTCCCCCTTGTGGTTTGCTCCAATATAGCATAACCACCCCGTAGTTTTTCCATCCAAACATGTTTAGAAAAATCTTCATTGATGACTTAAAAACTTTTACAGAGTACACGAAGTATTCAATTGCTAAAAAATAGAAAAAGAATAATATCCTACATCAAAAAGAGGATAAACCCATCAATTCCTCATGTAACAAAACAACAATGGTTCACTTTTGTTATAAAACAAATTAGTAGTATGCACAATTCCAGTTGAGATTTGGCTAGTAATAAATTTCTAAACCCTAGTGTGGTTTCAAGTGATAACAAAGCAAAGCATACGGGGCAAAGTGTTAGTTCTTATATGTAGGCAGTCAGTGTGATTCTGATTCAAACCACATGAAGTAAGCTGCAATTTATCCTTGAATTAAAGTTGAAGATATTTTGTTGAGGAAACCAAGGCTAACACCATTATGTTAAATATCGTGTACTGGCCCTTTTGAGAACATGGATGGAGAATGAGGGTAAATTACCAGTCAAACAATCAAAAGAGTGGGTGGGATGGGGACCATATGGCTTTTATTCGTTGCACTGAACACCTTAGTATTATGTTTGAGAACTAGAAATCAGAATGTTAAATGAACTGAAAACAAACAATAAGGAAAATTAATACAAGTCCCTCTCAGATAATCTCAATGTAACATTAAACTGAAACAGGTTATATTGAGTTTGTATTAATTTCAAATTAGCTACGAAAATCAAAAGTCAAGTCACATCCACAAAATTATAAGAGAATCAGCAGTCACCACTAACTAACAAAAAAGGTCAAGCAAGCACCAGTTTGATACAATGGTAATTGGTAATAAAGAAAAACAATTGGACAAAAACAGGGTCTACAGAATAAATTTATTCATACACTTCTGTTAAGGTGAAAACCCAAAATATCTTAAGAATGTGATGGTGTTCTGTGATCATTGTTGGAAATTATCAACACAATATAGTAATAGTTACTAACAGGAATCAAGTGCATAGGTGTTTAAGAAATAATGGGTGCAATGCAAGTAACATTCCTCAGCCATAACAATACCATTGTTACTCAACTCTAGCATTCTATTTTTACCTATCAATTGAAAAAATGTATATGAACTAAAAGGTGCAATACAGCATAACATAGATAGAACAGTTGGGTATTAGGAAATTTTCAGATTGAAATTAATGAAGGAAAATTACTAAACAAATCAGAATAAATTAATATCTAAACCAATTTAACATGAAAACGGGTTTGGCTCTGAAATCCAACAAATATTAGAATTCCTAAAATAAAGTCTGAATTTATTGAGAAAATTGCATTCAAACAGAACGAATTATTTGATTTAAACGAAATTAACAAGAAAATTTAAAACCTGAATTATTGAGAGAAAAAATCCAATCTTAACAAAATTCCCCAAGTTCGCACATCCTATATTATTTCCACCAGTTATTTTCTCGGGAAACAAACAGAAAACGCATCGATCAAAGACAGCATCAGGAACATACCGGTGAGCATGATGATGGAAGAATCGGGAAAATTGAACTTGTTGATGAGAAGGTGACGCATGCACTTTGCGTCGTTGATGCATCCCTTGAGCTCGTGCCGCGAGTACCGGTACGAGATGCCGACGACGACAGCCTTCTTGCGGCCGTGAGGATTCGGCGGGAGGCCGGGCGGCGCGTGGTTGTAAGGAGACGGGAACGGCGCTTGGGGAGATGATGCGGGCTGAGGTGGGAGAGCGCGTGGGTCAGCGATGTGAGTGACAGCGTGGCAGAGCGCGCAACGGATAGAACCGGCGCCAGCTGGTAGCTGCAGAGGTGTGCGGCAGTTGGTGCAGTTGACGAGCATGTTGCTGTACATGATTGCAGCTGAATTGGTAAATCGAGATTTTGGGGGAATTTGTTTATGGAGGAAGAGAGTGTTTGAGAAGAGAACGGGTTTTGTGAAGTTAAGAGATTGGAGTAATGGCAACTGCTACGCGTTTTTCAAAATCGATTTGAAAAAGAGAGATTTGACCTTTTAGGTAAGCTAACCTTTAGACGTCACAATCCACGTCACAATCGGGTGACTTATATATATATATATATATATATATATATATATATATATATATAGAGGTAAGATCATTTGATACCAGTGTCAAATTTGAAGTTTGACACCTCATCTGATAGCCGTTAGATTAAAAAAGATCAACGACCCTGATTAGTAAACATGTTACACCATTGATCTTTCTTGATCTAAAGGCTATCAGATGAGGTGTCAAACTTTAAATTTGACACTGGTGTCAAATGATCCTATCTCATATATATATATGGGAAATGATATACTTAGAACAAAAAAAGTTTATTACTCTTACAACCAATCTAGTTACTGTTGATTTTCGTCAATCTAACGGTTATAATTTATTGAGAATTATTGAGTCGTACTTATTAATTAATTATTAATTTTCAATAAATCTAATAAATTATAACCGTTAGATTGACGGAAATCAATGGTGATTAGGTTGGTTGTAAATGTGGTAAACTTTTTTGGTGGTAAATATATCGTACCCCTATATATATATATATATATATATATATATATATATATATATATATATATATATATATATATATATATATGAGATTGAATGCTAGAAGCATTCAGATGAGATTGAATGTTCTGAGGCAATTAAGAAAGAACAAGGGTTTTCGTAGAAACCCTAAATCAATTACGATGTTTATTCTTCCATAATGGATTTTATTATGTTTTGTTACATGGTCATTGAGGCAATTAGGAAGCATCTTGATATGCATTTAATGGACATCATGAATACATGGTCACTTGACGATGATATTTATATAAAAATTCCTGAAGGATTCCTTATATCCCATATGGAAAAAATGAAATTCACAACATGTTTAGCATCAAACTGTTAAGATCATTGTATGGTGATCTTAAATATATTATTGTCTCAGCTTGCAAATCTATCATCTTCCAAAATGGTTATTTTAGTGCACCAATGTTACTATATAGGTGCCCTAATGATGGTATGTTTACCGGAAGCGAATATAGATCCATTTATACCAAAATAAACCAACTATAAAGGATTATGACCTTACGCTCCTAATATTAAGCATCATAGGAGCACTATTATACTCTGCAAATTGCAACAGGCCTGATATTGCATTTGCAGTAAAAGTTCTAGCTAGACATAATGTTGCCCCTTAAGACATTGGAATGACGTTAATAATATTTTGGTTATCTTATAATTCCATTATTTCTCTTAACAAACAAAACTTCCACAACATATACTTTATAACTTCGTTCTAGTATTTATATTCAACTAGAATTTACCTTTCTTACACAAACAGACTTTACTTCAACAATCATAAACTCATATTAGAATTATCCATATCAGAATTAATCAGAATACATTCTGTCACAATCACCAGAACATATCATAACACATAGACATCAAAATCCTCAAAACACACTAGAATATTATATATCTCTATTTTACAGAGTAATCAGAATCAACTGAAAAGCACATACTTTCACAATGATATTTATTCTCAAAAGTTCCACCAGAGCTATCCTTTTTACGGAAATTCTCCACTTGTACGACCAAATTATTAAATGGCCTCGTACTAGAATTCTCATATATATATTGTATGTATATATCTACCACAACACTCTTATTTCCAATCATAATCATTTATATCAGTGTATTATAATTATACACCATTCTTTACTTTATTATTAGATCCTCACAACACAACAGTTTACCTGCTGGTAACAGAATCATAACATTACTTAAAGTACATTCTACACAGAATTTCAAACATAATCATGATCAAAAGAACATATTAGCAGAACATATTAAACCACACACATCATATTAAATAACATATCATTCAATTTGCATAAACCAATACAACATGTTATTTACAAATTCAGGTTCAACATCATTCATTAAGTGGAAACAGAAAAACTTGCATATTACATCTATTGACATGTTATTCATAACAATCATACATAATGCACATGTTATCAATGCATCAATCATTCAGCATGTTAATCATAGCAAATCATATAATTTCACATCATTTCATTCATCAAGCATAACATAATTATTTACAGACTTTCAAATCAATTCATATAAGATCATATTATTTAATCATACCAATCATATATAGTTATTGATCCTATATAAATGCAATCTATGCAATGATTAATATTTCTTACAGATATTTCAAACAGAAACCATAACCATATATCTGATTACGGCGAAACATAAAGATGGAGAAAGCTCATAAACTGAGAACTTACCTGATCAACGTCCTATTTATAAATTGTTGTCCACACAACCTGCATTTTTTATGTCCACCTACTGTGTCCGTTTAAACCATGATAAAACATAATCAATCATCAATCTAAAACATATGACATTATACACACAACCAAATACCATTTACACATTAACTTAATTACCCACTTGGTAATTCTTTTAATCTTCTTTTTCATTAACTTGCAGTTAACTTTCAAGTAACAGTTCATGTCATACCACACAAGTCTTAACAAAATTTCATACCTTAACATTAGACCCACATTTCTAGTTAGTTAATCACTAGCTCACGTAAGTATTTAACATTTAATTCAGGCTTAACATACCTTAATACCACTTGAAACTTACTTGTTTTCATATCACAAACATCGCACAACCTTTAATTAAATTTAATTAACATACCATGATATTTAAATCATCATGGCCAAATTGCATCCCATCAAAATCATGCATTTTTATGCATTCTTTTTTTCAATTACTTACTCAAATTGATATATCATTCAACCTAGTTTATAATCACTTGATATTAGGTTATTTCGCATCACACATAAACCTTACCCAACACTTTAACTTGCATTCTCTCACACACAATTACATACACTTTATTAGTGTAACGTTCTTTCACAAATTATCATGTTTACAAACTTTACATGATTTGGATTCAATGTCCTTTCACTTTATTTTTCTTCACATAGTCATAATGACACCTATGTAAATTTATTTACTTTCCTCACATCAAATTCACTTAAACTATGTTCAATCTTCATTCTTTTTACCAATTGAACATTACCAAATATTTAGTTGTCAAGTTACATAATTTTAGGTAATTTAACCTATGTTGGCCAAATTATACATGTCATAATTCTCTATGATTAGCCAACTTAAACACCTTATAATCCACCTTCAATTTCACTACACAATTCATTAAACACTCTAGTTCACTTATATGATCATTACTTGACATTACATTCTATACTTTTCCTATGACACTTATATGGTTTCTATGTCATCAATTTAATTCCATATCCATGAAAACCACTTCAAATCTTACTTAAACATACACTAGGTACACTTTGATTAATTAAACACTATCATAACATTATCCTAGCTATTTTATGTTCGAATGGTCGAATGACCTTAATTAATTTTCCAAAATTTTATATAACATTTCCAATTGATTTCTTTTCAACCATACATCATCAAATCATTCTAGAACCTTAATTCTATTATTACATTTCACCAAACACATGATTTACACAATTAAACCCTTAATGGCTGAATTATGTCTTGTCAAAATACAAGGTTCTTTAACTCATTAAAACAATTCCAAGCATAATTTTACATAAAATTAACATACAACCTCAAAACAACTTTACACCACATCAAACAACATCAAATATTCATAATCATCATAAACCCTAATCAAACTTTAACCTCATGAAAAATCATCTTCCAACCATCAAAATTAGAAATTAATACCTTGAATAGATTCATTGAACACCAAGCTTTCTTTTCCACCAATCAATTTCCAAAAACCCTAACTTTCTCTCTCTAGATGAATAGTGCCAACACTCTTTGGATGAGAGTTACTCTCTCTACAAAGCTCTTCAAGAAGAAAGCAAAATAGATTCAAGCTCATAAGATCAAGCACTACAACTTTTGTGTAATGAGTTTTCTCCACAAAGTGCTTAAAATTCCAAGAACTCACACTTTCTCTCTCTAGGTATATGTCACGGCCATGTGAGGAGGAAGAAGAAGAAAATGGACGTGGGACTTAGGAAGACATTTGGTGACTGGTTATGTCTCAAAAATTTACACAAAGTTACTTAAACTTTCACTTTACCACTTTATACACAAGTTAAAATACTATTGGTCCTTTGTCTTCACATTAGCCTTGTCATATTTCTCTACAACATTCTAGATCCTTCACACATGTAGAAACCATCCAACCATATACAAGGATGACTAGGATTGCTTACTTGGCATTTTGAACACTTAAGACTTTCAAACTTAACAACCATTGGTCCATTTGTTCAAGACTATTCAACCTTAATTCTTATTGGTTAGTCAACACTTAACTTTGACCTTTAAAAATATAAAACATACAAGGTCTCAAAGAATCAATCATATATCAAAAATCATGCAAAGAATTCACAAAGTTAAGTTATATTACTAACTTAACAACTTTGCATTCAACTTTGACCTAAACCAACTTTCATTGGTTATTAATTTTTCTTACTTTGACCAATTTTTAGAAATTAATCTAGATATGGTTTAATAAATGTAAGAACCCGCACCGTTAATTAAGATATTTAATTAATAAATTATGAGAAAATAGGAAATGATTCAATAATTGACCCTAATAATTATTATGAGGCTTTAATAATTATAGTGAGTGAATAATAATGCTGAAAGTCGCTTTTCGGAAGAAAAGTACAGGTACAGGTTCTGCTAGTCGGTATAAATGCGTCCCGAAAAATTAATGTAAGAGCATGATAATTACTAGAATAATATGTAGGACTTGTAAAACGAGTTTCTAGTCCAGATAATGAGAACTGGTGTTGGAAACTGGTACTAGCTTGGAAAAGCGCGTACCGGAAAAGTGCTCAGAAAATTATAA